TATTTGCAAGACAATCATTTTCTTACCCAGGCATGCCACATGCACCCAAGCCAAGTGAGATGGGAAGTGGGGAGAAGCAGGTAGGGAGAACCATGAGACCCATGAAATCTTCTCGCAGATCCTCGGGTTTTATCAGAGTGTGAGTGCGCCAACCTACATTTGCAAATACGGCTGTGCCATTTATGTACTTGTTGTTCCGACTTGCCACTACCCTGGCAAGAAAGTAGAGAAAAGTCCAACATCGATTTAAATAAGATAAATTTATAATTTGTCAAATTAATCAGAGGCATTAAAAAAAACAACCAATGCACCTCTCAAAAACATACCATGAATGTTTTTTCCTCAACAGAAAGAAGGGCTCTAGAAATAATGGTTGATTGCTTGCTACATGGTTACCTACTTTGACAATCTATTCAACCTGATGGAAAATTAATAAAAGTAGCATGTTGGCTCTGCATATAGTTTCATGCCACATGGGATGCAAATAAAAATATCCCTTGAAGGGTTCAGTGAGAGTTTCTGAATGTATCTGACTCAAAGGCAAATCTGAAAAAAGAGGAATGCTTAGTATTTTCTTCATGGAAGAATGACCACCTTCCATTTCTTAATGCATTGTTATTAATCCTCAAAGATGGAAAAATGCCCAGGAAATAGGGATATCAATGTCTAGGTGTGAAGAGTCCAACTCTTCTGATTAACAAGATAAATAAGCATGCTTTCAAATGCATAGCACTGATTGTAATATGGCTTGTCTGGCCATTTTGAGCAAATAAGGAGGAGAAGGATGCCATCATATACCATGTGCTATAACCTCAGAGAGCATTCAGTAAATTGAAAAGTTCATGGCAAACTTATCAAGACAATAATAAATTAAGGGAACCTACCGAGCAACTTGAGTCCCATTCATGACCATAGGGGGAGTTCCATGTTGCTCCACACTGGCCGTATGCCTGGCAAGGGATGCAGAATGAGATTTGACGCATAACTGAAAACATATCACAACCTCTTGGAAGTTGGGCCAGAAAGCATTTTCACTGATACATGATGTACTGAACATGTTAGATCATGTGAACCACATATAATTTGAAATTGAAAAGGAGAAAGGCTTGGTTTTACAAACTCTGAAACCATTTCCACATCTTGACTTATTTTTTTAGTCAGTGCCTTAGGGTGACAGATCTAATGTTCATTCTATGGAAATCCAACAGGACATTTTGGAACATATTTATGAACT